TTTCCAGGAATTTCCTAGCATTTTTGGATTTAGCTTGGTCTAGGATGCTCACAGTTTCCCAGCTGAGACTATGGTTAAGTCTGTCCATGTGTTGTGAGTAGTAGTAATAGTTTATTAATTGATTAGTCTTATGACAATATTAAAGAAAATAAAATAAAGGTAAAATACAGGGTCTAAATCAAGGGTAAAATAGGTAAAAGAAAATACAATAATAAAATGCACATGTGGTAAATACAAAGAATCAGTGTTCAGATAAATACATAACCTTTACATGATACTGTATATAAACAGGGAGCAAACCCCACATTCACTAGCACTGATGATGTTACCTAGTCTGGTAATGAAACATTTGCAAGCAAACAACCAAGCTCAGAGAGCGCCAAGGACTCCACAGTTCAATCCTGAGCTACAGATATTTTCTTCTATTGGATGTTACCTAGTTGGGCAATGAAATATCTGCCAGCAATCAACCAAGCTCAGAGAGCACCAAAAACTCCATAGTTCTACCCTGAGATACATATATTTTCTTCAATTCAGGGAACTGCCCTTGACAAATGTGGAGGCCCCTATAGAGCACTGGACCTTATACTTGGGTGATAAATCCAAAGATGAAAACGAGCACTTCCAGATCACTTACACGGTAAAGCTTCTGCACGGTTCTTCTGGATCATTATGCAGAGTTGTAGCACCAATTGTGGGGCGCTCTCGAGAAAGGTCTCTAAGAGGCGCAGCATGTTGACATCTGCATACTCGTACATCATAGCCCAGTAAAAGCGCCGCTGGTGTTCCTTTTGCCTCTGGCTTTGGATCCCCAGATACATGGTTCGGATATACCTGGAGACCAGGAAGAAAGAATGGCCAAAATGTGAAGTGATGACAGGATCAGGTAAGAGGTAATTCTTTCATCCATATCAGTCCATTGTCCCCCTGACCCCAGTTCCCATGTTTCCCTGTTAGGTCTATCATTCTTATAAACTAAATTGTACAGCCTGAGATGGTAATTCTTTGCTCAATGAACTGAACTTTCATACATTTTCCTGAATGAAAATTTAAGCATGATTTCTTGTATTAGGAGAATGCAAGTAACGTATTGCGACAAAGAATCAGTTTAAAGCAGTATATCCTGTTCTCCCATGGTCAGAAGGGTGTTCCTTCTCTGAAATGGGCGGAGAAAATACAAGTTCTTTTTTATATGGAAATAATTCATGCAGTTCAATTAAAGAGGAGCAGCTGCTTTTTTTATCAGAATCCTTGAAACCGACTGTCACAGTAATTAATGGACCATGATGGCAAACTACATACTCTGACTAGAGGTAAGTCACCTATTCTAACTGGGACCTTCCTGAGTATACCCATATAAGACTGCACTGTGAATGTTGTTGGCCGACTATATACATAGGGAAGACTAGCACTATAGCATTTTCATCTGTTTAATATGACTGGCGGTCACACCTCAATATCATCATCTTCATTTCTTTCTTACAAAATTGATTGATTTAAAGTATTTATAGCTTGCCATCCTGTTGTCAGCATCCAAAGCAATATTGTTAAAAGTCTTCTCCAACACCAAAGTTCAGATGCACTGATAATGTGTACTTTAGCCCGGTGTATTGTACAAACCTAGGCTGTTTACTTAGTTTAAGGTTAGTGCATCATTTTCTTAGGAGATGGAGTTAACTCCATAAATCATGCCTAAGTTAAAAATGGATAAATGTGCCATGCGCAAGTGAATGAGACAATTCTGGCCAGTTCACCAATGCTTCTTACTTCAGAAACCAGCTGAGAATATATGATTGCAGAATGAATGAAAGTAATACATAAAAGCTTTCTTCAGTGTGCAATGTGAGGATTGGTATCCATACAAATGTCCAGCCACCCGGAGTCTTTTGGAGTGTGTGGCCATTATAAATTTAATAAAATAAATAAAATAAATAAGCAGATAACCTTGATTAGAGAACTGGGGTAGAGCAACAGTGTCCCTCTGGCAGAGCTCTAGGAGGGGCTACTGCTCCATGACAGAGTTTATGCTTTGCTATCTCTCCCAGAGAGCCACCATCAATCAGAGCGAACAACAGCGGTAGAAATGGACAGAGGTCCTTTACAAGGCAAATTCTTACGTTCTCATTTTCAGCTGTGAAAATGCTGGAGAGGGTCCTTCACATATGGCAGGATGGCATTTTGGCACCAAGAATACCTTTGGTGTAGCTTAAAAATCTCATCCTGCCTTGTATAACAGCAGCAAAACAAGGTCAACTGGGGATGGAGCAGGATGGGCGGGAAAACTGTTGGAGTTTTTCTAAAAGAATAAGGAGGAAGTGACTCAGGTTTGCCACTAGGTGGCAATATGCTCTAATTATACCACATTTTGACATTTAGGCTGTAAACCTATACCTTGGACAAAAACACTATTCCACTTTCCATTCCACTTTCATGCTACTATTTTTTTTTTTTAAAAAAAACGATTTCCCTGGAAAAGTTGCCATGGGAGCAGGAGGGAGTATCTGAAGAATTCCCACCAATATGCTCTAATTATACCACATTTTGACATTTAGGCTGTAAACCTATACCTTGGACAAAAACACTATTCCCCTTTCCATTCCACTTTCATGCTACTATTTTTTTTTTTTAAAAAAAAACGATTTCCCTGGAAAAGTTGCCATGGGAGCAGGAGGGAGTATCTGAAGAATTCCCACTTCTTTCTACACTTTGTGTAAAAAGCAATTGTTCCCAAACTGCATAGAAGAAATACTTTTTTTAAAGAAATTGAAATCCCTTTTTCACCTTATGATCTTTGTGGATCGGAGTCGACATTGTGAGCATGAGTTCATCACACTCATCTGAGTGACATCACTGAGGGCCAAGAAAAGCCATCACTTTACCTTTTCCCCTTTCTTTTTTATGTTTTATTGTAATTTCTTTGATTGTTGTGAGCTGCCCAGTGTCATTGAGAGTCAAGCAGCATACAAGTTTAATAAATTATTATTATTATTATTATTATTATTATTATTATTATTATTATTATTATTATTA